AACACCACAATAGCTCATGTTAGACAATCAGTTCCTGTTGCTGTGTGAACCGCTCAGAAAGTTCAGCAGAACACTTGATGACTTTTCCAGAGACATTCAAGCTATGAAGCAGAAAACTCTGTCAGGTTACCTTTCCCGGCTCTCACTCCATCTGACTTGGAGTTTCAACAACAAGAAGACTTCTCAGTTAGAAACCTTCTCAACTGGCCACCCTCAGGACTCAAAAACTGAGTTCATAGTTCATTCTAGCTATTAACTTTTTGCTTGTTTTCATGCGAATGCCCAGGACTGAGAGACTGATTCAATGGGTTATTGGACAACTTATGCCCTCAGTTTCTGGACTGTGAAACTTCTTCAGGGAAGTTTCAGACAGAAGAATAATGGGGTTGAGGACACACTACCCCAAAATATGGCACCTTGGCACATTAATATCTTAAGCTGAAGGAGTTTGAGGAGACGACAGAAGCAGAATGTTTACTCAGACCTTCCCTAACCTCTCACCCCTCTTCCCTGAAACAAGTCATATAACACCCAGTTGAGAGGTACCATCTCTGAGCCAGGAGGAAACATTCTTATTACCAGAGTCTGAAATTTGGGGTCAAGAAATCTGTACTAATAAACCTTTGTCTTCCTAGTTACTTCTTCACCTTTCTCTATCCTAACCCAAATCTCTCTGTCCTAGTCATTCTTCACAATTTTATTACTTTGTCTAAAAAGTTTAGAAGCTTGGTGTTTTAGTCACATGTTCGGGTCATCATTCTCTTATGAAAATCACCATATACATGTAAAAATTCAATATAATTTGTATGCTTTTCTCACATTAATCTGTCATCAGTTTAATTCTCACACCCAACCATGGATCCTAAGAGGGCTGAGGAAAACTTCCTTCTCCTCTACAAAATAAATCTTGGCTGACCTAAATTTTCACTCTAGAGCTTCAGAAGTTACAGACTTGTACAGGCCCAAATTTGGTCTGCAAGATGTGTTTAAATGAGAACTAATTGCCAACATTTTATAATTGTAAGTGTTATTTAAAAACTCTATATTTCCACTTCCTGTTGAAAGCTGAGAATTATTGCCCAATGTTGTAGTGGTATCCATTGGTTGGATCTGAGTAGCTGTTCCCTCTCCTCCTTAAATACAAAATTTGCTCTAATGTCTACAGCCTCACATATTTCATTGCTATCAAATATTTGGCATCTGGGATACATCAGTTGGGATCCCTATTCTAGATCATACTTTGAAAGAACCAAGCAGGGAATCCAAGGAATTCTTTCTCCCTTCCTCCTGCTCTTCTCACTGAGATGCCAGTCATCTCATGCAATATCAATTATAAGACAGTACCAAAATGCTCCACTATTTCTAGCATCAATTTGAGCTGGAGATGGTAAAAATGAGTTAAGGCAAACTGAACACATGGATTTTTATTAGATACCTAATGGTACAAACATTTATTATCTAGAAATTTCCTGAGTATCATACATTAAAATTTACTTGAATCCATTGCTTCACCTAAACAATTCTGAAAACTTTTCTGTATTATCATACCAGCAATTACTGAGGGTTTTTTGAGTCAACTGGTTAAGAAAATAGACCCACAGAGGGAACATATTTCAGTCTTCTAACTCTTCCTCCACAAGAGGCACAGTGGTAAATTAAACAACTAATTCAATCTTTCAAAAGCAACAGTCAAGGAAAGCAAGCCACACAATCTTGTCTGCACATTTAAATTTGGTTGCACCTGGGACCGGCTAAGTCAGGGTCTCTGGAGGTGGGATTCTAACACCAAGCTCCCAGATCATTGCAGTGTACAGCCATTGTGTAGAACCATTGTTGCAAAGAATGCCTCCAAGACCTCTGGTAAAGCTCCTCCTAGTTAATGAATCATATTCTCTTTGAGTCACAAGTGACTTATCTATAAAAAAGGAATAGCAATAATATAATTCACTGAGTAAATGTGAACAAACTGTGAAGTGTTATGCAAATATGAATAAATGATAATGAACATGAGGAGGGGAAGTTGGATAATGGTGGAAATACAGGAGCCCAGCACCTACTTGTTGAGCATAAGCTTAGAAAATGTGGTTGTATTATTCTCTCTTGATTCTATTTTAATTATTTTTAAAGTTCCAATTTAAAAATGTACATAAATACATACAGGGATAAATCTCACGCTGCTTGGAAGGAACCAGACACAGAAGATGAATACTCTGTGATTCCATTGATATAGAATACAAACTAATCTATGATGATAAAAAGCAGATTAAAGATTAATCTTAAGAAATCAAAATATGCATAGAAATGAATGAAAATGAAAACACAACAACCCAAAACCTATGGGACACTGTAAAAGCAGTGCTAAGGGGAAGATTCATAGCATTACAGGCCTACCTCAAGAAACAAGAAAAAAGTCAAATAAATAACCTAACTCTACACCTAA